CAGGTTTTGTTGTTTCAGATACATACAAGCTAAACACATCTTCCCCACAGATTATAAAAAGATTTGAAATTAAGAAAAAGAACATTTTGCAAGAGTATGGATATTGATCAAAGCTGTCAGCAAGGTAAAAAAAAACTTTCCTGTGTTTAAAAAAGAACTTGAAATGCATTAAGAAGAAAAACACAGAATGAATATTCAAAAGATGTTTTCAATGAGATGTTTATATGAGTGGAAAATAAATAAATAAATCTAAAAATGTTACTGGCACCATCATTCTGTGGTGGGAAGTCAGCACAAATTAGGGCTGCTCGATTATGGCAAAAATGATAATCACAATTGTTTTGACTGAAATTGAAATCTTGATTATTTAAGATGATTTTTAAATTAATCTTGGTTTTATTTATCCATTTCGTTATTTAGTCTGTCATAAAATTGCAAAGGACACAATCAGGACAACAATAAATAAGAAAAAGAAACAAAATAATCACAGAAACAACTCCTGATTCCTATAGTATAAAAAGGCCAATTGCTCATTCTTCATGAGGCTGAGGCCCTGTCCACACGTAGCCGGGGATCTGCCAAAACGTAGATATTTTTCTACGTTTTGGCCTGCCATCCACACGAAAACTGAGTTTTTTCACACGAAAACGGAACTTTTTAAAAACTCCGGCCAAAGTGAAGATCTGTGTTTTCTCCGTTTTGGGTGTCTGCGTGTGGACAGACATAACCAGAGTTTTAAGGTCCGCAACGTCACTTTCCGCGACAAAAAAATGCTGACATCACGTGTGCGACCTGTGTTTACACTAGCCGACAGCATGGAAGCCTCAGAGCTGCGCTCGCTTTATCACTTGTCCAAGTGCTTTATGCTTGTTTGTTTTTGCAAGCGGAATTACTGCTCCTTGCGGAAGACCACAGACGAAGGACGAGGTTAAGAACGGGGGAAGTACTGCCGCCTACAGGTCTGGCATGTCCTTAACAACGTATTTATCCGGATACGTGTGGACAGTTTTCTTTTAAAACGAGGTAGTGTGGATGCAAGTTTTTGGAGGGGCGGATATTCGTTTAAAAAAAAACCCCGGCTACGTGTGGACTAGGCCTGAGATTTAACTTATTTACGCATACCTAGTACAGACCCAAGCTTGCAAATACTGACAGCAAGAATTATACAGTGCATTTATAATATAAATTAATACAAACATATAAACTAAAATGTTGCATAATAATAATTTAGACCTGTCCAGCGGTGCTGTAGGGAAGTGAACCAGCAACGTGTCGCTCAGAGAGAAGAATGAATATTTATCAGTGTGAGAAACTTAATTCTATCTATTTCTAAACTATTTATTAACAGGTGCCATCAGTTAATGTAATGATTGTTCCAGGCAGCGATCGGAGGTGTGCTTCCACCCCCCTACCCCCCAACCCGATCTCACAGCAATGCAGAGGCAAGCTGCATGTGAGCGTTTAACATGCCCACACGCACACATTTTGTAGTTTTTTAGTGGCTCAGGAGCCTGCAGGTGTGTCACTCACTCTGGCTATCCAAGAGGGAGCCGGTTCTGTGAGCTGTTTCTATCACGACTCACACCTACCTGTTTTGCTAACCTGCAGAAAATGTTGACAGATATCCAGAAAGTAGCTAAGGGTTACCAGAAATGCTTCTTTGTTGTTCGCAAGGTACTTTTAGGATTTAAAAAGTCAAGAAGAGGGCTTGAAAAGTTGTTAGAAATAGCGACAAAAGTCGTAAGTTGGAAACGCGGTGCGACGAGCGCTTGATTTGTAACTCGGAGCAGCGCAAGAAGGCGGAGCAAATAATCGGCTCATTTTATTTTTATGATCGTTCAAAACTCAGATTGTAATTGTGATTAAAATTCGATTAATTGAGCAGCCCTAGCATAAATATTCAATGAAATCCTTGAAAAGCTGCTTAAGCCATCTATCTATCTATCCATCCATCCATCCATCCATCCATCCATCCCTCCCTCCCTCCCTCTCTCTCTCTCTCTCTCTCTCTCTCTCTCTCTCTCTCTCTCTCTCTCTCTCTCTCTCTCTCTCTCTCTCTCTCTCTCTCTCTCTCTCTCTCTCTCTCTCTCTCTCTCTCTCTCTCTCTCTCTCTCTCTCTCTCTCTCTCTCTCTCTCTCTCTCTCTCTCTCTCTCTCTCTCTCTCTCTCTCTCTCTCTCTATATATATATATATATGTTGATTGTTTAAAATAACTGTAGCTAAAGTTACTCAGAGCCAGTGTAGAAGGTCCAAAGAGCCTGAGATAAACTGTGGTAACTGGAGAGGAACTGAGAAACATTATTAAAGATTTTGCTGTTTGCCAATTCAAGATGAATTCAAATAGAATATATAAGACAAGAATTATATAACAACAAAAGTATGTAAATGTTGGAGGTCACCACAAAATCCACTGTAGAATAAATGCAAGTCTCAAGAACCTTGTTTTGGGGAAGTTGCTTTATCACAGCCTCTGAGTTTGCAGGTATGAAAACAGATGCATGCAAACTAATGAAATCATTTTTTGTTCTTCTATGCCAGCTATCTGCTTGTGTTTTTGTACCGTATGGCTTTACGTATTATTGCAACAGCCTTGCTGTCCCAGATGTGACGTAACCCAACCACTGATGAAGTGGAAACCAAGCAATGCAGTATTTAAAAACAATGTAAGAGTGTTTAACAGTTGATTAGTTCTTTGCGATAAAGTCTTAATTTTATTTTTAGAAGGTCTTAAAAAGTCTTGAATTCAATTTTGAGATCCTGTATGTTTAAGCCGACTCTGACCCTGGTGTACGAATATTGTAGAGACTGGCAGCTCAGCTGGTGGATTTACAGACTTAAAGAGCAAGTCACCCCTTACAAGAAGCGTACTTCACTCCCACTTCATGTTTGAAAAATGCAACAAATGCTGTTGCCTAGCAGACCGAGAGGGTGGAGCCACCAACAAATACACACACTCACGACATTGTGACATCATAATGTACCAGTTTACATCATAGCATACCTCTTAGCCAATAGCGGTGGCAGATTTAAATTCAAATGCAGTGAAGAGTTTTTACCTGACAACGGCACAACACTGACAGTTTCGGGCAGAAAATTTAAATTTTAACTAAAATGCACTAAAGTGCAAAACTATTGACTACACGTGTCTGCAGCACAATTAGACACGCATTTATATCGTTTATCAGAAAAAAATAGTTGATTTGGGGGTGACTTACTCTTTAAAGACGCTCACATGCACGTGTACACTGAAGGGATGATGATGAGGGACCCATACAATACAGGTCCTTCTCAAAAAATTAGCATATTGTGAAAAAGTTTATTATTGTCTGTAATGTACTGATAAACATTAGACTTTCATATATATTAGATTCATTACACACAACTAAAGTAGTTCAAGACTTTTATTGTTTCTAATATTGATGATTCTGGCATACAGCTCATGAAAACCCAAAATTCCTATCTCAAAAAATTAGCATATTTCTTCCAGCCAATAAAAGAAAAGTGTTTTTAATACAAAAAAAGTCAACCTTCAAATAATTATGTTTAGTTATGCATCTCAATACTTGGTCGGGAATCCTTTTGCAGAAATGACTGCTTCAGTGCGGCGTGGCATGGAGGCAGTCAGCCTGTGGCACTGCTGAGGTGTTATGGAGGCCCAGGATGCTTCGATAGCGGCCTTAAGCTCATCCAGAGTGTTGGGTCTTTTGTCTCTCAACTTTCTCTTCACAATATCCCACAGATTCTCTATGGGGTTCAGGTCAGGAGAGTTGGCAGGCCAGTTGAGCACAGTAATACCATGGTCAGTAAACCATTTACCAGTGGTTTTGGCACTGTGAGCAGGTGCCAGGTCGTGCTGAAAAATGAAATCTTCATCTCCATAAAGCTTTTCAGCAGATGGAGGTATGAAGTGCTCCAAAATCTCCTGATGGCTAGCTGCATTGACCTTGCCCTTGATTAAACACAGTGGACCAACACCAGCAGCTGACATGGCACCCCAGACCATCACTGACTGTGGGTACTTGACACTGGACTTCAGGCATTTTGGCATTTCCCTCTGCCCAGTCTTCCTCCAGACTCTGGCACCTTGATTTCCGAATGACATGCAAAATTTGCTTTCATCCGAAAAAAGTACTTTGGACCACTGAGCAACAGTCCAGTGCTGTTTCTCTGTAGACCAGGTCAGGCGCTTCTGCCGCTGTTTCTGGTTCAAAAGTGGCTTGACCTGGGGAACCTGTAGCCCATTTCCTGCACACGCCTGTACATGGTGGCTCTGGATGTTTCTACTCCAGACTCAGTCCACTGCTTCCGCAGGTCCCCCAAGGTCTGGAATGGGTCCTTCTCCACAATCTTCCTCAGGGCCCGGTCACCTCTTCTCATTGTGCAGCATTTTCTGCCACACTTTTTCCTTCCCACAGACTTCCCACTGAGGTGCCTTGATACAGTACTCTGGGAACAGCCTATTCGTTCAGAAATGTCTTTCTGTGTCTTACCCTCTTGCTTGAGGGTGTCAATGATGGCCTTCTGGACAGCAGTCAGGTCGGCAGTCTTACCCATGATTGTGGTTTTGAGTAATGAACCAGGCTGGGAGTTTTTAAAAGCCTCAGGAATCTTTTGCAGGTGTTTAGAGTTAATTAGTTGATTCAGATGATTAGGTTAATAGCTCATTTAGAGAACCTTTTCATGATATGCTAATTTTTTGTGATAAAAATTTTGGGTTATCATGAGCTGTATGCCAAAATCATCAATATTAGAAACAATAAAAGGCTTGAACTACTTCAGTTGTGTGTAATGAATCTAATATACATGAAAGTCTAATGTTTATCAGTACATTACTGATTAACTTTATCACAATATGCTAATTTTTTGAGAAGGAGCTGTATAATTATATTGTACTAACATGATCCATGTGTGTACTGTAAAAATGTGAAAATTATATTGTTAAATAAAGTTATCACATTATTTCTGTAAAGCTGTTTGCTAAGAGTTACACACTCAAATCATAAACATCAGCACAACTGTTTATTGATTCATCAGATGCACAAAATAACACAACAGAGTTTTGCATAGGTTCAGTCTTACTCTGAGTTTGTTCTTTCTGTTAGTTTTTTTTTCCTGTTTTGGGTATTCAGTAAAACGCTTAACTTTTAAAGGTTTCAGGCACAAAAAAAATCACCTTTCCACCAGCAGACACACGCACAAACACAGAATACAAGTCAAATCTTACACAACCCAAAACAAATGATATGTAATCTAATAGGAATCCAGGCTGCTGCTACTATAATGCAAATGAATAGAAAGATATTTATTGAGTAAAAATGTTATATGGTTATGCCACCTCTGCAGCATGCACCTACGATTGTTAGACAAACTATTTCCCCCAGTTTCTCACTCGGGTCACAGTTAATGTTTAAAAGCTAAACTTGTGGATGCAGAATAGCTTCAGGAGCAGCGTTATCTCACACACATTATTACATCACATCCACACGAGGTGGTCATCAACCAGAGTCCATGCTGACCAGTCCCAAAGCCTCTGGGACCTCGGTCTTCTCCATCCCCAGTGAGTCATGGTGGATGGCTGCTTATACTGAGCCAGGATCCTCTGGAGGTTTCTTCCTGTTAAAAGGTAGTTTTTCTCTCCACTGTCACTAAATGCTTGCTTAATATGAAGATTGCTGTAAAGACTCTGACACTAGTCAATGACTCAATGCAACCTGCTAGTTTCCTTATATAGGAAACTTTTAATTGATTGGCTTAGTAACCTGGCCTGTACTGGGATGTTTACTTTGTGAAGTGCCTTGAGATGACTCTTGTCCTGATTTGACGCTATAAGGAGCCTAAGTCACGCCCATCTACTTAAGGACTATGGGTCTTCGAAAGAACAAAAAAATGAATGCAACGGGGCTAAAAACGCTATTTTCTAATTCCGCTTGTTATGTGCCATGGATTTCATAAATGATATCCGTGAATTTTACAGATGCATTTTGATACCAAGAACGCTTTTGTTTTCTAACAGGTGGAAACATTATTTAAGGTTTTGTGTGAAAATAAGTCCAGGACTACAAATTCGTGTCACTGAACCAGACACGGAGAAAAACAGAGGGAAGATGACTAAGTTTAGCAAACTTAAAATCCTTCCTTCGGGGGGAAAGAACCACCATGAATCTGGCCATATGGTAAGTAGCAGCTACGCTAGGGGAGAGGAGATTCTGTGGTGACGTGCTGATGTGTAGTTTGTAGTCATGCTAACTATGAACTTTACAAGCTGCCTTCATTTGCAATCCCTTCGGCTTCACCAATAAACTACTGGGACAGAAGCGAAGTGGCCACCTCGTGTGCCCGGTAGAGGAAATTGACAACCATCTGCACGCAACTTTCTGTGACATCATGAGGGACCTTAACCTTGGACCGTGTAGGGAGTTGGTAGCACCTCCCGAACCAGAGACACAATTCAACAGCGCAGAACCAACACTGAAGGAGATGGAAGAAGTTGTTAGAGCAGCAAGATCTAGCTCTGCTCCTGGCCCCAGAGGGATCCCTTCCAAAGTCTATAAGCAGTGTCTGAAGCTCCTGAGACGACTCTGGAAGTTCATGAAGGTGATCTGGTGGAGAGGGAAAGTTGCCGCACAATGGAGGTATGCTGAGGGAGTTTGGATCCCGAAGAAAGAGGGGTCTTGTAACATTGAACAGTTTTGTATCATCTCGCTGCTCAGTGTTGAAAGTAAGATCTTCTTCAAGATCGTGTCCCAGCGTTTGAAACTTCCTCCTGAAAAACAACTACATTGACACCTCAGTCCAAAAGGGAGGAGTTCCAGGAGTACCTGGTTGTCTGGACCACACAGGGGTGGTGACACAGCTGATCCGGGAGGCTAAGGAAGACAAAGGAGATCTGGCAGTTATCTTGCTGGACCTGGCCAATGTCTATGGATCTATTCCACACAAGCTGGTTAAAACTGGTAAGACATCATATTCGTGTCAAGGTCCGCAATCTCATTATAGACTACTACAATAACTTCAGCGCACAAGTCTCTTCAGGGCAAGTAACATCCTCTTGGCACCAACTAGCAAAGGGGATAATCACTGGCTGCATAATATCTGTATCTCTCTTCTCACTCACTCAACAGGACAAGCAGGTCTTGGTTGTTTTCCTATGCCATGCTACAATCTGGCTTGGGAAAAGAGAGGTGCAGACTGATTCAGGATAAGATCTGAGCTGAGGTGGAAGAAGAACGCTGCACCAAAATGCCCGGCATGTCCAAACAAGGAGCGTGGACCAGGTGGGAACAAGCTGAGTCTCGCAGAATCTCCTGAACAGAGCTTTGGAAAGCCGAGCCTGTTCGGATCAAATTCCTTGTCAAGTCCGTCTATGACGTCCTCCCAAGCCAAGCCAATCAACACACCTGGGGACTGGCAGACACTCCTGAGTGTAAGCTGTGCCAGAAGAGAGGCACCCTGGAGCACATCTTAAGCAGTTGCTCAAACGTGCTAGGGGAGGGACATTACAGCTGGCGCCACGACCAGGTGCTTAAAGCTTTGGCGGATTCAATCTGCACAGTAATCCAGCACAGCAAGACCCAGGCAGTTCCCCAAAAAGCTATCACCTAAAGCAGGGCAGAAGGCACAATACCACCGGCCCAGCTCCCAAGGGGGGCTTCTCTCTACTGCTCGCAATTGGCAGTTTCAAGTTGATGTAGGTAGACAGCTCAAGTTCCCAGCAAACATCACAGCTATGTCTCTCCACCCAGATATGGTGATAACATCTGAGTCTACCAAGCAGGTGGTCATCCTAGAACTGACAGTCTCTTGGGAAGACCGTATCGAAGAGACCCATGAGCGAAAGAGGGCCAAGTATGCAGAGCTGAGCTCGGAGTGCCGGAACAATCGCTGGAAAGTTCGCTGTGAGCCTGTCGAGGTTGGGTGCAGAGGCTTTGCTGGCCACTCACTACTGCAAACACTCAAACTCCTTGGAGTAAGAGGACTGCAACTGAAGAAAGCCACCAAAACCATCCTCGAGGCCGCAGAGAGGGCCTCACGGTGGCTGTGGATCCGCAGGGGGGATCCGTGGAGCAATAGGCCACTTGAACACAAGCTGGGGACTGATCACCCCCAACTGGGTTGCCCGGGTGAGGGTGAATGAAGATTAAAGACCCGAAACATCCCATGACCCCGGGTTCTTCACTGATGACGTGTCTAAGTAGCACTGGAAGGTGTCTTCAAATTCTCTCTTTCTCTTGAAAGTACGTGACTGGCGTGGTCGAAACACCCATCATTACTTTTCATTTAAATTGCAGTACAGCATATGTGCGATCCAGGACGTAAGGCAAAGCAGATTAGAAAATAGCGTTTTTAGCCCCGTTTACTTCATTTTTTCGTTCTTCCGGGGACCCATGAGCCGACCGGAAGGGGAGGAGACTTAGGCTCCCTATATAAATAAACTGAATTGAATGAATCACATCAGCTTTAAGAACACTGGGCCTACAGGGGGACTTGGAGGAGACCCGGTTCTGTTCTGGACCTACTTTGTTGCATCTGACCCAGGAAGTCTGGAATCTGTTCAGCGTCCAATCAAATCTCAAGACTAAGACCTTCTGGAGCAAATGTGCTACACAGAGTAAAAAAGTTTGGTCTCAGTCTCAGACCACGGGTCCTCAAGCAGAACAATGAACCCAGACGTCCAGCTAAAAACACCTGAGAATATCTGAGAACCAAACAGTAGTTGAGCAGGACCAAACAACCTGCTGGTAGATACAGACATCTGATTGTGAAGTCCAGAGATCACCGAGGTTCCCCATGTCTGCTTTCATGTGTGATCAGATAAAATATTCAATTGATTGAATCAATCGTGAGGAGGGGCCAGATTCGAGAGGCTGCATCTGTAACATCTACTTTGATGGTTTTTACTTCCTCGGCGTTATGGAGACCTTCCTGTTGAGCTCAGTTGTAAACCAAAGAAACCGTTGGAATCCTAGAACAGTTCTTTTTCGCTCTTCTTGTCTTCTCTCTGCTTATCTGTACCTCTCAGGAGCATCACCTCTGTCCACTTCCGGTCCCACAGTGGCACGAACCAATCTAATAAAACACACCAACAGAGACGTTAGGATTTCTCAGAGGCTTTGGTCCTGGTGCAGAATGTGTTGTTATGAAAGCAGGCAGAGATCATTAAGCTTACCCTAAATGAGTCCAAGAGGTTTCTGAATGACCAGAACAAGTTTGCTTATTGTTCCAAGGTATTTGTTTCTCACCGCTACTCAACTCAGCTCGACCCTCCTCTTCTTGTTTTGGGAGTTTGCTGTATCATGGAGAATCCACTTTTTGGAGCTTTTACCATGTTATTGTTATTATAGGAAACACCCCAAAAAAGGTTTTTGCTGTCTCAGCTCCAGCTTCTCTTTAGCTAAGCTAGTGCAAATGGCTGGATGGGGCATTATTGCGTCATGGCAGCCTGCTCTTGCCCATCCAGTTGAACCTAGAAACCCCCCCCCCCAACTCAGACAGAGTACACTGTGTCAGAGTGCTGTTCCTTATAGCAAAAGGAATATAGATGGAGACACAACATAGCTCCATGTACAGAAAAATGCATAAAAACATACACTCACCTAAAGAATATTAGGAACACCTCACTAATATGGTGTTTGACCACCTTTCGCCTTCAGAACTGCCTTAATTCTACGTGGCGTTGATCCAACAAGGTGCTGAAAGCCTTCTTTAGAAGTGTTGGCCCATATTGACAGGATAGCATGTTGCAGTTGATGGAGATGTGTGGGATGCACATCCAGGGCACGGAGCTTCCGTTCCACCACATCCCAAAGATGCTCCATCGGGTTGAGATCTGGTGACTGTGGGGGCCGTTGTAGTACAGTGAACTCATCTTCATGTTCAAGAAACCAATATGAAATGATTGGAGCTTTATGACATGGTGCATTATCCTGCTGGAAGTAGCCATCAGAGGATGGGTACATGGTGGTCATGAAGGGATGGACATAGTCAGAAACAATGCTCAGGTAGCCCGTGGCATTTAAAACATGCCCAACTGGCACTAAGGGGCCTAAAGTGTGCCAAGAAAACATCCCCCACACCATTACACCACCACCACCAGCCTGCACAGTGGTAACAAGGCATGATGGATCCATGTTCTCATTCTGTTTACGCCAAATTCTGACTCTACCATCTGAATGTCTCAACAGAAATCCAGACTCATCAGACCAGGCTACATTTTCCAGTCTTCAACTGTCCAATGTTGGTGAGCTGGTGCAAATTGTAGCCTCTTGTTCCTATTTGTAGTGGAGAAAAGTGGTACCCGGTGGGGTCTTCTGCTGTTGTAAAGTTAAAGTTAAAGTCCCATTAGTTGTCACACACACAGGTGTGTGTGCGAAATTTATTCTCCGCATTTGACCCATCCCCCAGGGGAGCGGTGAGCTGCAGACAAGCCGCGATCGGGAACTATTTGGTGGTTTAACCCATCCGCCTCAAGGTTGTGCGTGTTGTGGCTTCACAAATGCTTTGCTGCATTCCTCGGTTATAACGAGGTTTAGGGTTAGGCTCTTCTGTCAGCTTGAATCAGTCGGCCCATTCTCCTCTGACTGCTAGCATCAACAAGGCATTTTGGCCCACAGGACTGCCGCATACTGGATGTTTTTCTCTTTTCACACCATTCTTTATAAACCCTAGAAATGGTCGTGGGTGAAAATCCCAGTAACTGAGCAGATTGTGAAATACTCAGACTGGCCCGTCTGGCGCCAACAACCATGCCACTCTCATAATAGCTAAAATCACCTTTCTTTCCAATTCTGACCTTCAGTTTGGAGTTCAGGAGATGGTCTTGACCAGGACCACACCCCTAAATGCATTGAAGCAACTGCCATGTCATTGGTTGATTAGATAACTGTATTAAGGAGAAGTTGAACAGCTGTTCCTAATAATCCTTTAGGTGAGAGTAAAAGTGTACAGAGATGTGTACACAGGTGTGTGAAGGATGCTGGTATATACTCTGTACAACCAAGTTGCAAACGAATAATAGCAAATCAACGGATAATGTGTTGGTCAAACAGGTGATGCATCACAACCGAGCTTCAGACGGCAGGTTTTGGAGTCTTATTTTTTGACATTTTGCTTCCAATTGGATAACAGCAACGTGACTCTACGACTGACCTGAAACATGCCGTCATGTTTTGTGTCCTGTGGTCCCCAGCCCCTTCCAGGTTTCCCTCCACGTTCCCTCTAGTCTCATCATATTTAGTGGGTCCCATGTTAGTCTTCCCAGTATTAGATTCCCTCTTTGGTTCTTGTCTCTTTAGTATCCTGAGTTAAATATTTAGTGTTTTTTGCTTATTTGTGTGTCTCAGTGGTCCTTTATTTAAGCTTAGGCTATTCTCCCTAGCCCTGTTGTGTCTCTGGTTTCAGGTTTATTCGTTTACTCATCTGTATGCTTGTATTATTTTAGTTAGTTTCTCCCTTTACTATATTGTGTTTCTTCTCCACTTAGCTCATTAGTCTCTCCTGCCTCGCATCAGCTCACACGCCCCACACACCTGGTCCCTGTTTCCTTGATCACTGTTCTCTGTGTATTTAAGCACCGGTCTTGTCTTTTGTGTTTGTCAGTTCCTAAACACAAGAAAACTTCAGACCATGTGGGAACAGCAGCTAGTGGTAGAACGGGGAACCGCAACAGCGAAAGTCTCAGTCATCCACACATGTTCCTCATCCACTAATTATTTTACCTGATAAATAATTATTCAGGTGGAAAAGCAGCTGAGTCACATAACTGGAGCTTAAACACCCGACGGGAATCGGATATTGTAGAATGGAGTTTGTGTTTTTGTGAGCAATAGTTAATCTTCTTATTTTTACTTTGTTTTTAATCACTTTAATTCATTCATATCATTTTTCATGTAATTTAATGATGTTATATTTGTGTCCTTGTGAAGTATCCCGTGATTCTGCCCGAGATGCGTTAGATAAAAGAACGTTTCTATATTATCGTTACGGTTAGTCAGAGCTCCTCTCTGGAGGAAACGTGTCTCCGTGAGCTCGCTGACAGGAGATCCGCCTGGCACTCTGCTGGGATTCGGATCCTTTGTGGAGCGACAGATAAACCGTACAAATACGACTCCAGTCCATGCTCGCTTTTACACCCTCCTCTGCTCCCCATCATACACACGTTGTCATGGTAACCACAATGAATGACAGCTAGGAGGCTGCACTCGGACTTTTTCAAATAAAGCAAACTCCATGCAGAAGGACTCCTTAAATGTAAAATGTAAATGACAACCCGTTACTCTTCGGTTCATCATTAAAGTTTTTATTCCTGACAGGAACCTCTGCTCTGTCTCCACCGCGTTTATAACCTCTGCTGCTTGTTTGGTTCTTTTGCACTTCGGCAGAAAATGTCTCTATCTCACACGTTTTCTTTTTCCGGGTAGAAAGCAGGGAATCCCCTCACGAGCTGAGGACGCAGCGTGACCAAATATGGTTAACTGAGGGTGTTCCTGTATGGAAATGAGAACGGACACGAGCTCCTGGGTACACACAGGTGGGATCCATCATCAGACGAGTGTGGAGGAACGTGCGTACGAGAGGCCACCGCGTGTTTCGTAAATCAGGATCGTGATCGTTCGTTCGAACATTCTAAATTCTGTTCATAGGAAGGAATTTAGGAACATTTCTATGAACGTTAGATGAATGAGGCCCCAGGTGTTTGGCCCTTCTGGATACTCACAGGGGGAAACTCGTTCTCATCGTCTAGACGTACAGGTCCAGTGGCAAACTCGTGCTCTGGAATGACCTCTCCCTTTTTAGCCCCACCATCTTCAGAGTAGCCTGGAGAGGAACAATCCCACAACAGAGGCCATTAGTTCATAGCTAACGATACATTAAACCATCTGTCTGCATGCAGGAGCAGGAATCCTGTCATGTTTGTCAGTGTCTGAAAGAGTCAGACACGGTCCTGTTAGACCCGGTTCCTCACAATGTGAACCACATTCATTCTAAACCAGTGGTTCACAATCCTGGACCTCCGGTATCCAGCACGTTTTAGTTTTAACCCTGCTTCAGCACATCTGATTTCCATCAGCAGCTGATTAACAGGCTTCTGAAGAGCCTGATGAGCTGCTGCACAGGTGATTCAACCACTGAAAATAGTGTGTTGGAGAAGAGAAACCACTAAAACGTGCTGGATACTGGCCCTCCAGGATCAGGATTGAAAACCACTGCTCTAAACCGTCTTTAAACATCCTTGAGGTTTCTCAGTCTCATGGCTCTGTCCAGTGACGTGTGGTGGTGTTCATGACTGGGAAGGCACTGACTGCTCTGGAGTCATGCAAATATATGATCTCGAAATAGAAGCTTCTTTTTGATTTTTGACCTTGAATGAAGTATTTTGCCATTTTAAAGCGTCTTAGTTATGATTTAATCAATTTCAAACTATTCAACAAAACACTAGCAAGAAAACCAAAATAATTTTACGTATCAAGGCAAATTTGACTAAAAATGTATTAACCTCTCGTGGAACACACTTGATATAGAGAATTGGTGCATGCGCTCTGCCTGCATCAGTGTGTGTGGCACAGCAGAGCTCGTCTGTGTCCCTTTGCACTTCTGCGATGTGTTTGATCTTGAAATGTGTAAATTTAGAGATTTTGACCATGCGGTCATACAGGAAATTAATGTATAGACCAGTCAGTGGACACACAGATTTTATTTCAGTATTAGTGCTTGTCACGATAACGAGGAGGCAGCACCTCCCCCCCTCCCCTCCCCTGCCTTCTCTGACTGCACGTCGCTGCCTCATTCTTGTGTTGAACAGGTTCATGACATTTGAGACAAAGCTGAGAATCATCTCAAGACAGATTTCACCAACAGACTGGGCGAGATGTTAGGTCCAGCATGTCTGTGTGAAGAGAGGGAAACCCACTGTGGTTACAGTTTTACATGCAGGCCCCCACAATCCTGGGATGAACATGAAGCCAACAGGAAAGTGGCTAAAATTACAGTTCCACCCTCATCCACTAGGGGCTGGCAGCAGAAGTGAGCAAATCCTCATTGACTCCCATGTTAAAAATGCCATTTTTGTAATGGATGTGATTCCTTGCCATCACACTCTGCTGACTTTGTATCACTCCTTACGCTTTTAGCTAGCAGAGTTATCTTAATGTGCTGGAAGGACTCTCATCCACCTACACACTCCCACTGGATTAAAGATGCCCTTCGGTTTATGAAGCTGTCAAAGATGTGACACGCAACCAGGAGCCGAGTTGACGCTCTCAGAGACAAGACTGTTGACAACGGCGGACCCCAGCAGAGTATCAACTGCCATCCCCGCATTTGATCAACTTCCAGACTATGTAAGACATAGACACCCAGATAAAGTTGGGGCCTCCCCCTCCAGGATACCCCCCTCCTCCGTGATGGAACAGAGGCGTTCTTGCAGGAGGAATCAATGTCCACCCGAGGCCCTCGGGCCAGGGCCAGGCACAGCCGCTTGCTCTCGCTCACTTGCCGGCAGCATACAAGCCAGGACCCAATCCCCCAGGCCCAGCTCAGATCCCCATCTGGGGACGACCACCCCCATACCCCTAGCCACTATGCCCTCACCCTGACCCACCCAGGGATGATACAGCCATCAGGCAGCGACCTGTGGCCCCCCATTAAGACCTCCCAAGGCCCCACACGTGGCCGCCATAAATCCACCCACCGAGGCCACCCAACCAAGCGCCACCAGAGTGGGGCAGCAACCCCCTAGCCCCAGACCCCCCAGTGAACCCACCCCCAGGGAACCTCCGAATACTCCAAATTTGGACCCTCCACCACATCAACCACAGCATCCTGAAGAACAATATCAATGACCCTCCATCATCGCTATGTGATGGAACCAAGGGCGTAGGAATGAGATTATTATTGGGCGGGGGAAACACATTTTGGAAATCTAATAAATCAGTGATAGGTCAATATAGACACTCACCTAAAGGATTATTAGGAACACCACACTAATTCAGAGTTTGACCACCTTTCACCCGCAGAACTGCCTTAATTCTACGTGGCGTTGATTCAACAAGGTTCTGAAAGCATTCTTTAGAAGTGTTGGTCCATATTGACAGGATAGCATGTTGCAGTTGATGGAGATGTGTGGGATGCACATCCAGGGCACGAAGCTCCCGTTCCACCACATCCCAAAGATGCTCCATCGGGTTGAGATCTGGTGACTGTGGGGGCCGTTGTAGTACAGTGAACTCATCTTCATGTTCAAGAAACCAATATGAAATGATTGGAGCTTTATGACATGGTGCATTATCCTGCTGGAAGTAGCCATCATGGTGGTCATGATGGGATGGACATGGTCAGAAACAATGCTCAGGTAGCCCGTGGCATTTAAAACATGCCCAACTGGCACTAAGGGGCCTAAAGTGTGCCAAGAAAACATCCCCCACACCATTACACCACCACCACCAGCCTGCACAGTGGTAACAAGACATGATGGATCCATGTTCTCATTCTGTTTACGCCAAATTCTGACTCTACCATCTGAATGTCTCAACAGAAATCCAGACTCATCAGACCAGGCAACATTTTCCAGTCTTCAACTGTCCAATTTTGGTGAGCTGGTGTAAATTGTAGCCTCTTTTTCCTATTTGTAGTGGAGATGAGTGGTACCCGGTGGGGTCTTCTGCTGTTGTAGCCATCAACATACATATGTATATGGACAATGGGTTTCCTTAGACTCCAATAATACGTTTTTGAGTTAAAATGGAAGGTGGCCACCACCACCATTTTGACCGTGTCACAGGTTCCGTCAAGCCCAGACAATTCCACAAAAGGGAAGAGAGGTGGAGCTGAGGGTGGGGCTGTGAGGCTGGGATCAACTGACGACACCCGGTCGAACTAGCTAAAAGCTAACCTGAAGCTAACCCAAAGCTAACGCAGAGGTGGGAGCTAAGCTAATGGAGGTAGCAACCTAGCTACAACCGGAGCTAACTCCGGTTGTGGAGTTAACTGGAACACCAGCGACCTGAAGCTCACACGGAGTTTGTGTGGAGGTTTGCGGCGCTTTTTCATGAAAACTATCTTTCTGTGAATAAAAAAGTATTAAATCGGTAAGTTTATAAGTTATTTCCTTAATGAAAATATATTTTGCTTTGAGCAAGTTTTCAATATTTTTAACGTACCATATTTTCCAGAGGATAAGTCGCTCATGAGTATAAGTCGCACCAGCCATAAAATGTATAATGAAGAAGAAAAAACATATATAAGTCGCACTGGACTATAAGTCGCATTTTGGAGGGAAATTTTATTATTTTTCTTACAAAATCTGAGACCAAGCCTTTCACATTGCAAGACAAGTACCGGTATCAATAACAGAATAAACAATGTGGACGCAGCAGTGCGCCACGTTCTCCAACAGAGGATGGCAGTGTTTGAAACCCTCCCAGCGGGACAGGGGAGCTCATTCCTGGGTCGGATCGGCCTGCAGCAGCGCGCCACAGGTTGCAGCAGGTGATGGCGGGGCGAGGGGCTGAAATCTGGGCCGGATCGTGTGCCACAGGCTCCAGTAGGTGATGGCTGTGTGGTTTTTATTCCCAGCGGGGCAGGGGAGCTCATTCCTGGTCCAGAGCCAGCCCGCAGCAGCAACGCGGTATAGCCTACATAATTTGGTATGTAAGTCGCTCCGGAGTATAAGTCGCAGGACCGGCCAGACTATGAAAAAAAGTGCGACTTATAGTCCGGAAAATACGCTAGTTATTAGTATTTGAGATAAATTAGCAGGCTAAATACATTTCATATATTTCTAAAACTTAATACTTGTTTGTATATTGTACAACCAAGTAGCCTTTATTCTGCACTCTGTACAATTCACCAAAAGTAAAGAGACATTCTACAGATGAAGTCAGCACACGATAACTTACTAGAAGAAACTGAATTATCATGAGAACCAGAACAAGAGAGCCTGATAACAGTCATGTGAAAATAATAATTAAAAAGCATGTATGTGTAATAGAAATAAAAATATATTAGAATTAGTGTAACTCACTGTGATCCAAACAATAAATCAGCCATAGCTGATTAGCAATCATGAAATGAGGTCTGGGAGTTTTTAAGCTTCATTCTTTTAATCTCAATTGCTTGGGAGAGAGAGGATTGAGAATTCTAGAGAAAAAGTAACACATCATCTGCATAAAGACTGCTTTTATGTTCTATGCTCTTACTCTTTATGCTTTTAATACCTGGAGTTTGCCTGACTGCTGCTAGTGGTTCATTGAAGATAGCAAACAGTGAGGGGAGGGCTGCTGGTGAAGGGATTTTCAAAACCAAATTTATGCAAAACTGCAAGTAAGGGCTTCCAGTTAACTCTGTCAAAAGCCTTTTCTGCATCCAAAGATAACATACTAGTTTCTATGTTTCTACAATAAGAAAAGTATATCAAATTAAGTAATCTATGTAAATTTGTGGACAAATGCCTCCCCGTAATGAAACCACTTTGGTCAGGGTGTATTATGAAAGGGGTTACCTTCTCTAGTCTTTTTGCCAGGGCTTTACAAATTATTTTGAGATCAACATTAATAAGGGATATGGGGCGACAGCCATGAGAACTACAGGGTAGAGACTAATGTTGGCTGAATTCATGTTTGGCTGTAATCTGCCATTTTCAATTTCTCTCACCATTCTGAAGAATGTTGGAGCCAGAATGATCCAGAATTCTTTGAAAAACTCTGCTGGAAACCCATCTGGACCTGGAGCCTTCCTAATGGGCATGGTTTTAAGGGCTTCTTGGAGTCAGCTGATGTTAGTGGTGAGTCCAGGACTGATAATTTAGGAAGTATTATTTTGTCAAGAAACTGATTGCCCTCATTATCTGTTGGGTTTATCTGTGGTGAGTACACATTTTTATAAAAGTCTCTGAAAGTGTTGTTTCTTCTTTCAGGATCATACACTATATTCCTGGTTTAGTCTTTAATAGTAGCTATGGTAGTTTTTTCTTTATTTATTTTTAACTGGTTAGCTAAGAATTTGCTTGATTTGTTACCATATTCAAAGTTTTCTATTCATAATCTGTGCTAAAAATAGTGTTTTATTGTAAATAATTCCATAAAGTTCTAGTTTAGCTTTACATATTTAGCTCTGTATTCCTTCTTCTGGGGATGCCTCTAAAGACTTAAGGATTTCTTCTCATTCCTTTTCTGTTTTTCTAACTAAAAACACCTGGAAAAACTCTGTTAGCTTTGGGTTAGCATGTAGCTAATGTCCCACTGATCTCCGGCCATGGAACATGAGGTGATGTAAAAGGCCACGGCGCCCGGCTACGATCGCAGCGGTCTGAGGCTCTGCTTGTAATTTAACAGTCCCGGTCCACATCAGATCTCCACAGGCAACCAGCATGACCACAGCCTCGCACGGAAACGAGCTGGTCGTGTGGGTGGGATACCCTGGGCCACGGAGCCCCCTATTAGCTTCTTGGGTTAGCTAAGTTAGCTAGTAGCTACACTGGTTCATTTGTTCCAACCATTAACAGCTCCACCCTCAGCTCCATCTCTTTTCCCATTTTTGGATTGTCTGGACGTGACAAGATGTATGGCACAGTCAAAATGGCGGTGGTGGGATCCTCCCATTTGGAAACAAAAACTTATAATTTGATTCTATGGACAATATTTATCCAGTAAATATGTCAATGGTTTTGTCCAATCCTCAAACAGATCTTTACCCATTAAACCAACCATTGAAACCATTTAAATAAGCATTCAGACATGGTTTAGCGTTGATACAAACAGTCTGAGAGTACGAACCAGTGAGAGTTGCAGCAACGACACTAGAGGCTGGTAGGGCAGCAGTTTCAGCATAAGATGGAGAAACCTGAGCTGAGACCTTTGACCCCTCTAAGTCCATTAGGTCATCGACCCCAGTAAGCCTGAAGAGAGAGAAGGAAGTGAGGATATGTAGTGAAAGTGCCGATCTGTAGCTTTTTACAGAGCCTCACCTGTGGCTGTGAGCCAACCTGCACTCGCCTCCATCTTGAGGATCTACGTCATAGATGAACAGCTGGCCATCAGCAGTGGCCACCAGCAGCCGAAGAAGCTTCTGGATCCTGAAACATCAGAGCCAGGTTTAGTTTTTAACAATCTCATCACTGCTTATGTAAAAGGACCAGATCAGTGGGTTTCTGCTTATTTCACAGTTTAAAGCATCTCATGAGGTCAAAAACCACTGAAACAGCCAAGGCCAGAAATGTAGAGTACCAACGACACAAGTATCACAAAGTTCACTGCCTCAGGTTTGATGATGCTTTCAGGAACTCCAGAAAGCTCAGATAAGAGATCAGATATGTAACCCCATAAAACCCATTTTTACTGTGTTCCTGAAAAAGGTTTCAGGTCAGTAAGAAGGTCCAGGACCACCTCCTAAAGCTGATCCAGCTCTGGCATTGGGGCCACCAGTGCTGCTCAAGGAGGATGCCCAGCTGATATGGAGAAGCACAGCACAGAAGCCACTTCACTCGTAGAGTCAGAACTAATGGATCAGGAACAAAACATCCGCATGTTGGGTCTGGGCCCAGGAACCACCTGGTGAGCTACTGCTCTGACTGACACCAGGTCAGAGTGAACTACAGAGGACCACTGGAGATGTGGACTCTTTGAATCAGTAACTGTCAAAAATAAGTGTTTGAACTTTTCTAAATGATCAGTCTACCATTAATGTCGGCCGATATTGGCATTAAAATGACACAACCTTTAGATACCACACACACGTTACACATCAAACTCTTCAGCTATGACCCTTTTCTCTCAAAAAGTAAAAATACACCAGATCTGAGGAAAAGTCTGAGACATTTTAGTTTATTTGGCACAACTTGTGAAGCAGAAATTAGCCCTGTGTAGTGAACGTACGCTGTCCTCACGACACGAAGCTACGTGTAGCTAGCAGTTAAAAAACGACTAAAACCAGAACAAGAATCTTTACCTAAGGCTTGTTTTTCTTACCTGAAGATCTTAATAAATGTTTTATCATCATAACTGCAAAATACAGAAAAGAACAAATAAATGACTAACTAATACTCACATCTTAGCTCCACGCTTTGGGAGAATGAGAGTCAGCTGCTGTTGGAGGCTAAATAAACATGGTACTGTTCCTGTTACTAACTTGGACGGAAATCATAGAAAATGTTTAAAACGTAAGTGTGATAGAAGATATGTGATGTTAGCAACCTCAAATGTATTAGTTTTTAATTCAAGATACAGGGACACAGCATACATAGGTATTGGAGATTGAGTCGACTAAATTGGTATATCAGATCTTGGTTTAAAAAAAAAGCCAATATTAAAGAGCAAGTCACCCCCTACCATAGTATTACTCCGCTCCCACTTCCTGTTTGAAAAATGCAACAGATGCTGTTGCCTAGCAGACCGAGAGCACGGAGCTGCTAACAAATACACACACACACACACAGGCTCACAGCGACATTATGACATCATATGGTACCAGCTAACGTTCTAGGGTACCTCTTAGCCAATAGCAATGGCAGATTTAAATTCAAATGCAGTGCAGAGTTTTTACCTGACAACGGCACAACACTGACAGTTTTAGGCAGAAAATTAACATTTTAACTAAAATGCACTAAAGTGCAAAACTATTGAGTGCACGTGTCTGCAGCACGATTAGACACGCATTTATGTAGTTTATCAGGGAAAAAAAGTTGATTTGGGGGTGACTTGCTCTTTAAGCATTTCTAGTTTGGACCTTCTGAAATTGTGTGATTCTACTTCCGTAACCATAGAAACTCCCAACAGAAAGGTCTAGAAACCCTGAAGCAGAAAACTTTGTGAAAACCAACAGTTGTCCTCCAAACGTTTGACCATGGCTGCTGAAGCTGCGGTTCTAAACAAGGAAAAAAAAAAGCTCACGGGACCAAGGTGCAAACGTTCCTCTGGCCGGTCGACAGCAGGTGAGCAGTGGCGAAAGCCCGGTCCTGGCTCATCACACCAGACACTTGAGCAGGGAGGTAGCTGCTGGCTGCGGAGAACATCTTCCCCACATAAGCTGTCCAGGTGGCTGCACCATCCACTCCGCTACACAGAATCAGGAGCTTCAGTTAGAGCAGGTCTGACTGGTGAGCTACCAGCCGGACGGATGTAGAACGGCTAAAGTTGAATCTTGTTTAATTCAGTTTTAATACAACCACAGTGAAAACAAACAGCTGGTCGTCAAACCAGGTCAGTCCAGCCACACATGAATTCCTGAGATTTCCCGGCTTTTATTTGGTTATTAAGAAATGAACCAAAGTACTAAATACACATGTGAAAAAACATAATCCCCATCAGAAACACTGATCAGCTGTTCTGATGAGGAGGAGCTTCAGGTCAAAGTTCAGCAGGTGGACCAAGTCTTACACACAGATTTATGGTTTCTTCTATGGATCCATACAGGTCAGCAGTAAAGTAGTTTATGTTTACAGTAAGAGTGAACTGGGGGGGGGGGGGGGTACCTTGGTCCCAGGGGGTCCAGTTTAAAGACATGAACAGTTTCTGTGTTGCTGGAAGCGCAGAGAAAGTGTCCGTCAGGGCTGAAGCATAGACAGTTTATACTGACATACCTGTAGAAACACACACACACACACACACACACGCACACGCACACGCACACACACACATTAAATAAAGAATTTGTTGAAGCTGAGCTCCAGCACCTCTTCATGAGCCACGCTCCAGAACTCTGACCTCTTCATGCCTCTGCGAAACTCGAAGAGACGCTGACCCTCAGGAACCGAGAAGACCCGGATGACGGTTCCCTGTGGAGACAGACTAGGTAAGAAAAAAATCACTTATTCACAACTATAATAAACTCCCGCTAACTACACGGAGAGACTGGGCACAATAAAAGTGTGCCATTGTGATTGCAGTCCACTTCTACAGTTCTCTCACCCTTCCTGTTCAGCCTGTACACCTCCATCTTCCGTTATAACTCAGACCAGTGCCCCCTACAAAGGCTCTCAGACACGGCCATCATCGGATGTGTAACGGATGGGAACGATCAGGAATACTGGGGGAGGGGTCATCAGTGACCTCGTCGGATGGTGTAAGACCAATGCTCTTCAGATCAATGCCAGCAAGATGAAGGAGATGGTCATAGACTTCAGGAGGAAGTCACACCCTACAGCAACGGTGAACATCTAGAGCAGGGGTCGGCAACCCGCGGCTCCGGGGCAGCACGCGGCTCTTCCATCCATCTGATGCGGCTCTCTGTGTTTGTAAAATAATGAATGAATATTTAAGTAAAATTAATTTTATTTTACTGCATCAGTTTTTATCTATATGTCGATTTTAAATGTAAAGATTGTCATCTTTTAAAATCTAAAGAAAAATGATAAAGACCTGAAGTGGCAGGTCACCTGCTTGTGCGTAATCAGACGTCTCTATAGGAGCTTTCTGAGCTGAAGAGGACATGAGATTCTGGACTTTTTCCTCAGACAGGCTCCTGGATGCGTCGCCACATTGGAGACAGGAACAAGTTCCATCATCAGGAACATTTTCTAAGTGACTCGTCTCTCTGAGAGACCGGGTTTGGAAAGCACTCGCTTCAGTGAGAGGAACATCCCGCGTGGCTCTGGTTCTGCTGCTGCCTGGGACCGACGCGCTCCAAGCCCCTCTCCACATCTTCAGCTCGCTGACCACCTCACGTGCGCGCCGACAGCGAGCTGCGCTGAGCTCAGTGTCCAGTATAATGGCCAGACGGGAATCTTTTCTGGACTCATTCAGCGACCTCTGCGATGTGTAACTATTAAAATGTCAGCGCATCTGCAGCCTGGAGGTTTCTCCGTCAACATAAACGGTGAAACACGTAAACAAGCAAACGATTGCAACCCCTGCCATTTAACCGAAACATGAACCTGATTTACACCAGAGCCACGCGCCGTTATCTAACCCCAACCATCGCTGGAAATGAGGGAAAAACTAATAGATCTGATCCTTTCTTACCTTTCCAACATAGTTTAATGTAAAGTTTCGTCCAGTACAAAGTTTAATTACAACAGTCCAGCGAGACAGAGCCTGGATTTGTATTCTGAACTGGTTAGACATGTTTTTACTGTGGGAATCGGGTAATAATGGCTCTTTGATGGGAAAAGGTTGCCGACCCCTGATCAAGTACCTGGGTGTTCACCTCAACAATAAACTGGACTGGTCTACGAATACAGATGCCTCATATAAGAAGGGCCAGAGCTGACTCTACCTGCTGAGGAGACAGAGGTCCTGCGGAATATGCAGGACTCTGTTAAGGACTTTTTATGATTCGGTGGAAGCATCGGCCCTTTTCTAAGCAGTGGCCTGTTGGGGAGCGGGCGTACAGACAGGAACAAGAGCAGGATTGACAAACGTTTGCAGAGGTCTAGCTCCGTACTGGGATGCCCTCTGGATTCTGTGGTGGTGGTGGGCGAGAGGAGGATATTCGCTGAGCTGACGTCCATCATGAACAACACACACCACCCTCTACACGAGTCGGTGGGTGCGCTGAGCAGCTCCTCCAGTCAGAGACTGCTACGCCCCTGCTGCAGGAAGGAGCGCTTCCATAGATCATTCAGTCAGCAGTTAAGATTCATGACATTATGATGTCATGAGTCACCCAGCGGTCAGTACTCCATCCATAATACACCTGATATACGTACATTTGTACGTGTGCGCTTACATATTCATGCCTGTATTTAAAGATTTCTATCACTTGGACAGTGAAACATAGTTGTAGTAGAACAGCTGATATTTATAAGTATTATTACTTCCACAATGTTTCACAACCCCCTATCCATACTGCTTACCGTGTAAGTGTCTACATAGGAACTACTGTTGTGTATCCACTGTCTTGTCTTTCGTGTTCTTGGTCACTTTTGTTCTCCCTTGCTGTCTGAGTTGTGCTAACACACACATCTCCTCACTGTGGGATAAATAAAGTCTTGTCTTTTCTTACTTACAGAGACGAGGCCTGTCATGCACAGGCACCACCGGTCCCTCCCACCACCACCAGCAGGCAAGCTGGGTCAAGGGTTTTGCCCAAGGACACAACAGCAGCATTCTCTGGTGGGAGCCGGGATCAAACCTGCAACCTTATGATTACTGGACCACCTGCTCTACCTCCTGAGCTACTGCTGTCCCTGTAACAATGACTAAATAACAATATGACATGGTCGCAAGCTCCAAAAAGTGGACTTTGCATAGGACCCTTAAAGAGCAAGTCACCCCCAAATCAACTTTTTTTTGGCTGATAAACTAAATAAACGAGTGTCTAATCGTGCTGCAGACACGTGTCGTCAATAATTTGGCATTTCAGTGCATCTTAGTTAAAACTGAAATATTCTGCCTAAAACTGGCAGTGTTGTGCCGTTGTCAGGTAAAAACTCTGCACTGATTTGAATTTAAATCTGCCACCGCTATTGGCTAAGAGGTATGCTATGATGTAAACTGGTACATTATGATGTCATAATGCTGTGGTGAACCTGTGTGTGTGTATTTGTTAGCGGCTCCGCCCTCTCGGTCTGCTAGGCAACGGCATTTGTTGCATTTTTCAAACATGAAGTGGGAGTGGAGTTAGACTCTGGTAGGGGGTGACTTGCTCTTTAATAATTAAAGCCACACATAAAAATAGGAATATTAGTTCCAGCAGAATTCCTCCTGACAGCGAGGTTACAGGTGGAAAACAGCACAGGTCTCCGTACACAGGAGTGTCAGAGGCATGATGAGGGAGGTGGCGTCTCTCACCCTTTCTGAGGCACTGGCGAGGTTGGTGGCAGAGGCGCTGAAGGCTAGAGCTGCCAGAGGACTATCATGGGCCGGGATCTTTGTCAAGGAGCTCTGAAACCACAGGAGAGCCAAAACTCTTCATTTCTGACCTGACAGATTAAGACAGACATACAGTACAGGCCAGAAGTTTGGACACACCTTCTCATTCAGTGTTTTCTTTATTTCCAAGACCATGACCATTTACAGAGAGGCCAACAAGTGCCAAACACCTCTGGGAACTCCTTGGAAAACCATTTCAGGTGACTACCTCTGGAAGCTCATCAGGAGAACACCAAGAGTGTGTAAAGCAGTAATCAGAGCAAAGGGAGGCTTTTTAGAAGAAAACAGAATATAAAACATGTTTTCAGTTATTTCACCTTGAAGTACATAACTCCTCATGTGTTCATTCAGAGTCTTGATGCCTTCAGCGAGAATCTCCCAACGTAAATGTTCACGAAAATAAAGACAACACGTTAAATGATTAAGAGATGAAGTTCACGTCCAAACTTTTGACCTGTACTGTATACACGCGCGCGCGCGTGTGTGTGTGTGTGTGTGTGCGTGCGTGCACTGACATACAAACACACAGGGCAGCTGTGGCTACGTTATAGCTCATCACCACCAGTGTGTGAATGTGTTTGTACCCGGGTGAACGACTAAAGTGCTTTGGGGGGTTCTAAAACATCATCTGAAGCTAAAAGGTTTTGTTTGTGGTAACAACCTGGGGTACTTTTGACACTGTGATGACCAGAAGCAGTTTCTCACCATACTATTGGTATCGTACACGATGACCTCCCCGTCCGTGGCGCTGCCGGGGTACGCTAAGTAGGAGCTGGACTGAGAAACAGACAGAGCACAGAGACCTGCAGAGAAATCATTCATTACTACAGAACTTTAATCTGACAGAAATTCTGTCATTTGAAATAAATAGGAGATTCCCGTGTTTGTTTTTATATCAGAAGATCAATTAGAGATGTTTCTGTAGGTGGGGTTGGGATTAAATCATACGCTCTAGATTAGTTTGAAACTTGCTGCAACCTTTCTAACCTTGTGATAAAATAAACAGACTTGAATTCTCTGGTCTGGAAGCATGCAGAGGTCCAGAACCCCTTCCTGTGGTTCTGTGGTACCTGAGGGGTTGGATGGAGTGTTGAACAGAGTCTGGAGCAGCTTCATGTCCTTGATGTTGTGGATATAAATGGATTCCTGGAGGCACACCACCAGCCTCTGGAAGACAGAGGAATGCCAGTGAAAAGCAGGAAAACCAGCTCCCAGAGGACAGAGGGCATCCGGGAGCTCACCTGCTGGTGACCCCGGAGTAGCACAGCCCTCCTGTTCCCACAGAAAAAACCCACTGATGCTCAAAAGAGAGAAAACGTCAATCGGACCTGAAGACCTTTTTTAAGGTGGATGAAAATCCAGTTAGATCTCTGAGAGACAGGAGTTATGACCTCACCCTGACAGAGGTTGTCCCATCGGCACAGATGTGATACTGACATAAGTGTGTTCTGCTACTGTTTCAGCTCTTAAACATAAACACAGTCTTCACTTCCTGTTGGATGACAGATGTTTTGTCTCAAAGCCTCCAAGTCAAAACCATGATCATGCTAAGAAAAGAAAACCACTTTCTACTGGGTCAAAGGTCATTTGTAGTTTGACACCAGCAGGCAAGCTCCAGAGTTTTGCTGTATGTAGAACCAAAGCCAATAAACCGGAGCGACCCAGAAGTTGTCTCCAGAAGGCTGGAAAGAAACTTGGTGTTTGTCGACGTGTACTCATGTTTAAAATGGCTGCCGCGCATAACTCGCGTTGATTTGAAGTGTCATTTGTGCGTGCCTCCCAAAATTAACGTGACACATTTGCACGCTGAAATCTGAGTTCCCTGGTGGAGTTGACAAAACGAACGAAACACTCTCACCACGACCACTCCATCTCTGGTTTAAAGGTCCTTCATACTATCTACAATACCCGTATTGTTTTTTTTCCCATAATCTTAAAACGAACCAGTTACTGATCTCTTCTGTTGATACCATGTTTGTTTTAGTTGTACCCACGAACCCAGCTCTCTCTGGTCTGAGTTCTCTAGTGCGCCCCCTAACAAAATCCACCAGTACTGCATGCAATGCAGCAGCAAGTAAAGCAAAGACGAGGTTAAACAGCACGTATATCCCTGCCCTAAGAAGCCACTGCATTTTTTTGTTTTATTCTAATATCAGGTGAAGCAGGCTAGTGGCTAACATTGAGCTAACATTGTCTCTAATTTCCCTCTGGGATTAATAAAGTATCTTTGAACATTGAGCTAACACTGAGCTAACATTGAGCTAACAATGCTAACGGTGAAGAACAGTCGGCTCTAAAATACCTAAATCTACTTTTTCAGTTACTACCAGTGAAATGTGTGTGTGTGAAGTGAAAAATGGGTCAGTCATGGTGTTTTACTTCCTTTGGTGAGTCGTTCAGAACTATAACAACAAGCTAACAACAACACTTCCTCTAATGCCGAAGACAAACTACCGTAATAGGTGTAAAAAACTGTAAAACACCCAAGATGCCAACACCATGATGATGTATTCATCTACTTAACTTACTGTCTATGGCTCATCTTTGCTTGTCATCTAGAATCTTCTGGTGCTGTTCCAGAACCGGCTACAGCCAGAAACTCACAAAACGGAGGTGAGAAAGTAATATTTTTGCTTAGAAAAACAGACTGCAGTAACCACATTTGACCACAGGATGTCATTCTTGCATACTGAGTGACTCTTCAAATTTAATATATAGGAGGGGCTGTAAAGACAGATGTAATAATCAAATCTAGATATATCAGGAGCCTTAGATGGAAAAACACATTACTGATTTGTTCGTCAGACTTGAAACCACAGTCCCTACACCCCCAGCAGGTCCCTGAGGTCCAGTGACCAAAGCCTACTGGTTGTGCAGCATCAGGCTAAAGGTCAAAGGTGACAGATCATCTGCTGCTGTGGCCCCCAAACTCTGGAACTCTCTCCCCCTGAGCCTGAGATCAGTGGACTCAGTGGTCTCCTTTAAGAAGCAGCTGAAGACTCACCTGTTCAGGCTTTGGTGGGACCTTCATCACCCTCTCCTTGTTCTGCTCTTCTACTGATTCCGCCTTTCCCACGATCCACTGATTTCCCTCTTTCCTGTTATTTTTCTCTCTCCCGTTCTTTACATGATATTTTTTAATCACAATTTATATGTATTTTCCTCTCATTTTAAACATATTTTTAATCATTTAAAAATATTTTGTATACTTTATGAAGTGCCTCGTGATTTTTATCTAGAGAGGCGCTATAGAAAAGATCGTTTTCTTTCTTTTTGTCTTTTCAAAGATCTCTGCTGAGAACGGCTAACACACCGAGTGCACCCTGGCATCACTTTCCTTTTTCTTTTAACCCTCCCACTGTCCTAATGGGTGTGACCCCGCGAGGAAAGTTGGCCATTGAGCAGGGTTGATGGTTTATCCCATGGGTCCACGTGGCAGGTGTGAGGAGTGACCTCAAGGGACAAACCATCAGTTCTGCTCAATGGTCAACTTTCCTCGCGGGTCACCCATAAAGACAGTGGGAGGGTTGAATTCAATAAACTTGATTGTAGCCAAACTAAATGTCCAAGAAGACCGTGAAGAAGCTCAGTTTGTTTTCCAATAAACACAAGAAGAAGAAACAGGAAGATGAGTGTTGATGACCATTAAACACAACCGTGGTAAACACTTACGTCATTGTTCTCCAGCCACACTTGTTCATCTGTCATTACACAGCCTGTTAAGCTTATTGTAACTCCCTACTGATGGTGTAGTTTGATTGTTTTACGTGTGTGTGTGTGTGTGTGTGTACGTGTACCTGTCTGTTCAGCTTGACGGAGAGGATGCGGTGTGGGTAGCTGTAGCTACAAATCTCCGTCCCTTTCCTGAAGTGATAGATGTGCATGCGCTGTGGCTCGTTGGAGCTCACCACTACCACCAGAGAGCTGGAGAACAGGCGCTCCGCGATGTAGATGCCTGGTGTGTCTGCTGAAAAGGAACGCAGTAGACAAACTTTATTAACCCGCCAGGCTGACTTCTGAAAACGTTAAACTTCCGCTCTGAACTTTCCGGAATATTTTGATGGCTTTAGAATATCTAGGACCTATGGTGAGAAGATCTTGTTAGCTTAGGGAGCTAAACTGAGGTTTGTATGAACAGAAAGAGGAGTGAAGTTAGCCATCAGAGTGGTAGATCAGTCACTAACGGATTAGATGGATTACACAATCAAGAGAACTTTGACAATATTTCATCACATAACAAACATGAAAGGCTCTGAGAATCCTGATTGGACCTCCCGACCGAACCTGATAGACTTAAGGTAGGTTTAAAAGTGCTGAGTCAGCAGATTACTGACCACTCTTGTGAACGCAGTCCAGCTCCTCCACCAGAGTAAGAGAGAACAGCTGGTACCCAGCCCTCGTCCCCAAGGCCAAAGACCTGCGTCACACACACACACACACACACACACACACACACACACGCACACCTGTTGGGTTGTGGTCCGGGCTGCGATGCCTTGGTTCTGTTGTAGCTCTGATATTGGGATGGTGGTTCTGTTTCATGACCCAGTTCGGTCAGATGGACTCGGGAACACTCTGGTATCCAGAGGAGTTCCTGTTGCAGAACCAGCCCAAACCCTCAGCTCCACCACTGCTCTGACAGCTGGAATCAGCTGTTAGAGCTGCTGTGCATTATGGGTAAATGTGTTGGTTTTGCTCCTATTGACCCAGAAGAACGTGGCTGGTTCAGTGAAAACTTTACCAACCTGTTGTGACCTTTTAACCTGCTAACTGGTCTGGAATCCTTCCCAGTTGGACAGGCAGTAAAACCTGACTATCTCTCAGCTGTTGAAGGTTTTTAAAGACAAACATTCCATGTTTGCGTCCATTCCTTTAATTAAAGAGCAGACATCCTGAAACATAAACCTGTAAAATAACTCGAGGGTGAACATCTAGTCATGCTGCCTCCGTAATGACATAGCTATAACTGTACGTGTCTGGTAACCAAGGTCCATCTAGTCATGCAGAGGGGTCCATGACTGGTCCTGTCCTTCTGGGGCAGCAATAGCTCAGGAGATAGAGGAGGTTTGACCACTGCTCCTTCCTGGGAATGCTGCTGATGTGCCTTTGAGCAAGACGATTCACCTGAATCACTCACCTGTGTTGGTCTAAAATAGCAGCCTCACCTGTCAGACTGCAGCTGTGGCTATGATGCTAGCAGAGTGAATGAATGAGTGAGGGAACTAGTGATGTGACATCAATGGGCTGAACCTGATCAGACATCCAGCACAAGTTCTCTCTCTCTCTCTCTCTCTCTCTCTCTCTCTCTCTCTCTCTCTCTCTCTCTCTCTCTCTAGTGGCCTAGTGGTAGAGTGTCTGCCCTGAGACTGGGAGATCAGGGTTCGATTCCTGGTCGGGTCATACCAAAGACTTTGAAAAAATGAGACCCAATGCCTCCCTGCTTGACACTCAGCATTAAGGGGTTGGATTGAGGGGTTAAACCACCAAATGGTTCCCGAGCGCGGCTGTGTCTGCAGCTCACCGCTCCCCCAGGGGATGGGTCAAATGCGGAGAACAAATTTCGCAAACACATCAGTGTGTGTGACAACTAATGGGACTTTAACTCTCTCTCTCTCTCTCTCTCTCTCTCTCTCTCTCTCTCTCTCTCTCTCTCTCTCTCTCTCTCTCTCTCTCTCTCTCTCTCTCTCTCTCTGTGCCTCCTGAAGTCATTTTAAAAGTGACTTCTTGTGTTCTGGTCTGGACCTTGGTCCTGTAGAACATACCAGAACCTGATAAGGTTCTGGTGCCGGGTCCACTAAACCCACCAGAACCACTGAAATCCCATCAAGAGCACTTAATGACGTAACGTGTCTATTTTTTTCCAGACTTGACTGAAATACGAACCGAACCGGATCAGCCAAATGGGTGTGTTAGTTTGGATTTAGGCTCCAGAATGGTACCGGTCCGTGTTTGAGGTTTGAACCGGATCGGCCCTCTCGACTAACCGATCCGGTCCAGCTGCGCTTACGTGGAGTCTTGGTTGAAGGCGACGCAGCCGAGCCGGAGTCCCGGTTCGTCCGCTCCATCTGCGCTTTCCATCCGGACTCCCACCGACCCCTTTCCCTCTCTCTAACCGAACAGGGCGCCTGGGACCGGGACCGGCACAACCTAGATGCTCGATGTCGGCAGTGGTCAAGTCCAACAGGCAGGAACGTGGGTCGGCCCGGACCGGTAGCGGGTCTCGCGGGTGTTTCAGTTCGGTTCCGGGTTGGTCCTGTGGGTATCTATTCTACAGAACCCCGAGAAAAAAAATAGGAGAATAGAGCGAAACAAGAACAGCTGGCGGAAATACGTCACGCATGTTTGCAGAGCGTCTATGCGATTGGTCCGGGGTTCAGTAGTGTGATTTGATTGGCTAAGGCTGGACCGGCGTTCTGAACCGGGTCTGATAGTTTCAGTGAGCAGGGCCGTGCACAGACCTTTGAAGGGGCGGGTGCTCAAAATTAAAAAGGGGCACATATAGAGCAACATTTAAAACAGATTCACGATCCAACAAGTGGGAAAATTCAGATAGTGAGTCCCTTGGGTTCAAAAACAAAAAACTAGAAAAACTATTTTATTTAGTGTCTTAAATAATTCATTTAGTTTTTAAAGCTGACTTGTATCTCTCACAAAACCTGAGAGCTCTGCTACCAACCTAACAACCTCCTTTACACAACATCAAACTGAATGCCACATTCTCTCCTTATAAGGCCACACACACACACACACACACACACACACACACACACACACACACACACACACACACACACACACACACACACACACACACACACACACACACACACACACACACACACACACACACACACACACACACACACACACACACACACACATTTTTGTTTATATGCTTGTATGGACCTCCTTTGACTTCCATTCCTTTTAGTGACTCCACTACGCCTAACCAAGTCCCCATAATTCTGCAGCAAATTTGAAGCCAACAAGAAAGTGGCACCATAAGAATGATCTACATGATTTCCTCACAGCCATCATTTATTTGGAAGATTATAAAATAATTTAAATCAAGTTTTCAATCCAGCTTTGTGCAACAAAATGATGAGCTTATCCTTGATGATGACTACAGGTGTGACAAGTTATGAATATTAAAGTGAACTTTTTTTTCTAAATCTAAATTTAGGTAATAAAACACAAATTTATGTAAGCAAAACAACGAAAAATTATAATTATATGGATTTTAATGGTGGCCGATTTTTCTGCAACATTGTGCACATTGTATTTATATCATAAATCATTTAGACAAGTTTCATGGTGTAAACTTCACTTACCAGCGCCTCTTGTGAACTGGCTTTACTGAAGTCCTATTGGTGAGGCAAACCTCCTGGGGTCATCAGGTCATCTAAAGGCTCCAAAACTCTCTCGTCTTTATTTTGAGGAAACGTCTGTTGACATAATGAACATTCTATCATTCTGCTTTTATAGAGATGAACACATGCATCTAAGATAGGTCATTAGTGCAGTAGACAAGATTGTCATGTTTCAATAAGCTAAAAATAAATTCAGATTTGAGATAAATGTACATTTTTGTCCTTTAACATACAAAGAATGTACAACTTTATCAACTGATAAGAAGTTTTAAAAATATTCAATTACTCGCTATCAGTAAATCTGAGCAAATGGGTGATATTTGAGCTAGTCTGCAGTTGGGCGTGACTCTCTCACACGCACAAAAGAACACACTCGGGCTTTTGTTTCTGTCAGCCGGAGAAGCAGGTTTATGTATGAAGCTCCATCAGGTCATTACGCCATTAGCATTCCAGTTTAGCTCATTACCACAGCTAGCATGTCCTTTGTTATGCTTATTCAGAAACCGTTGAAGTTATTTACATGTTTACCCCATCAACATGTATGGCCATATTTCCATTTCCAAAAAAGAGGGCAGGGGATCTGTGCCTACCAATGACATCACACTATCAGTGCGTTTACATGCAGCTAGTAACCCTTTTAAAACCCGAATATTCACAATAACCCGGTTCCACAGGTCCATGTAAACACAGCCAAAAACCTGGATATGCTCATAACCGGGTTTTTAAAACCCCGGTTACTACACCTGGGGTAACTCTTTTCTAACCCGAATGTTTGGACGTGTAAACGCATACCGGGATATCCCCATCAAAGCGTGTGTTCTGCGCATGCTCTGTTCTCAAGGAATCTTGGTCTTTTGAGTAGCGAGACGTCTTGTATGCGCCAGAACACCGGAAGTAAACAACAAGTTGGGAGCAACATGGCGAGTCGCGGCACAGCACCACACTTTTGGAGTGACGAGGAAATTAAAGCACAAACAAACGCGGTCGCTATATCTTCCGAACTGGGAAACATGTTGTTTTCACGGATACCGGAACAAGAAGAACCGTAAATGACGCATATTGCGTCTGGACGTAGTCCATACGACCTGACGCTACCCCAACGTCTGCATTTAAATCGGGTTATGCAAGTTAGGTAACTCTTTCTATTTATGCTTGTAAACGGGTTAATCTGATCAACTCAGAAACCCGAATACTGACCTTAACCTGATCATAACCCGGATATTGGCTGCATGTAAACGCAGTCTATGGCAACACCACACAAACCACGTTAGGAGCCATTTTTTTCCCCCCAGGTGAAGAGCTAAAATTAATATCAGATTCTGCCAACAAAAGGGCACTAAAACAATTCATATGTAAATGTTTAGCATATTTGTTGCAAAACCTAATTTTTCTGCTGCTTTAGTGCTGCAACAAGGTTTTACTAATAAGAAATTATTATACCTTTTGTTTTACTACAGCGTTGTAAGCTTCATTTGCACAGATTGTTAAGGATGTTTCAGCTGTGAGATTAGACGATAGGATCAACGAAAAAAATAAGTTTGCCATGGACTCCATGGAAACTATGAGAGAATCCACAAATAGTGGCTTTCAAACAGTTTTGTTACTGACATATTACTACAAATTTAGAAAAGAAGCAGATGAGACGGCGCGTCTGAAATTTTGTTTTTCGTTGGACAATATTAGAACATGTCAGTCCCGCAGCTCTCCTCCATGAGAGAGGGGGTAGGGGGTTGCACACGTTCTGCTCAAGCCCCCATAATACTGGTATGAAATTGAAGCCAACGTGGAAGTGAAATAAATTGCAGTTCCACCCTCATCCACTAGGGGCTGGTGTCAGAAGCGAGCAAATCCTCATGTTAAAAATCCATGTTAAAAATACCAATTTCAAAGCAGAAATAAACATGTTTACAGCCTGGTTCCAAAACATGTTTTTGGTTTAAATGATCTAGTTTACACTCATGACAACTCTGAGGGGGTGAATTTTTTTGTCACTCTTCTGTAAGTGTATTAAATGCCTAAAATTCTAAATGATTAATGAGCATCAGACCCACGTGACCGCAGAGCTATCTCCATGGAAAGGCCTCAGTAGAGCCTCTGCCTCGCCTGAAAACTGTTCCGCGATTTTCAGTCTCTCAACTTAGACCATTAGTAGTAGAGTTTGTGCGTTCTTTTTGGATATTATTTGTGCAATTGTTGTTGAAATGAATATTTTTATGGTGTGATCAGTAATGTTTGGTTTAACAAGTGAATCATTAACTACACTCATACACAATGTTCATAAGATATAAGTTAAAGTAACTTCACCGCACATAGATATTTTCTTACCCACAAATCAGAGCATCCTGTATCTGAAAGAAGGCGTGATGTTCTGAGGTCTGTTGTTAACGCCTCTTAACTTGGCATGTCCCGAATGGCCACGTAATCAAAACATGGCGATCATTAAAACAGAGCTCACTTCGCCGTGAGTAAGTTCTAGAGAAAGCTACGGACCGGCCAACTGGAGCAAAAACCTCTTTAACCCAGAGCATCTTTTGACAAGCTGTCAAAAACCTGCTACACGCTGAAGCTGACATCGCAAACGGCTCCTGCAGAACAAAGCTGATACAGTTCCGACTCCCTAAGAGTCCTGCTACACGCAAACTAGTTCCAACCTGTTGTGCCTGGTGACATCTCTGGACTGGAGAGTCAGTATTAATCAGTGGCGGAGAAACCATTCATCAGACCTTTGAACACCTGCAGGATGCTTTTGATATCGCACAATCCCACCTATCTGACTTGAAGCTTGTGTTGAATGCAAGCAAAACTAAACTGGTCCTCTTCTCAAATAATAGGAACTCTACAGCTGTCCCCCCAAACATTATTACTCTACAGGGAAATCTAATAGAGCATGTGGCTGAGTACAGGTACTTGGGGTTTGTACTTGATGACCATCTGACCTTTAACATTCACATCCAAAGTTTAGTCAGGGAACTTAGGTTAAAACTAGTGTTCTATTTTAGGAATAGGGCTTGTTTTTCTCTTGCAGCAAGGAAGAAGCTGGTTGAGGCCACTTTTCTGTCCCTTGTGGACTATGGTGATTTTTATATATGCATGCTCCTAACAAATATCTGTATCAATTAGATTCAGTTTATCATGGAGCACTGAGATTTATTACAGGGTGCAAAGGTCGGACACATACTGTAGTTGCACTCTGTATAATCTAGTCCAGTGGCCCTCATTAGCTCAGCGTAGGCTAACCAGGTGGCGACTATTTATATATAAAGCCATCATCGGGATGTTGCCTCCTTATTTATGTAGGCTTCTGTCTTTCAAGACCAGCACTCGCTCACTTCGGTCTAATGCTAATCTCCAGCTGGCTGTGCCTAGAGCTCATACAGAATTAGGTAAGCAAGCATTTAGGATATCTGCTCCATCAGCCTGGAACCAGCTACAGAACCACTTAAAACTAGAAAAGCCGGTCTCTGGGTCAATTTTAGTGGTTAGTAAAGGAACAGGAAGCAGGCACATTTGGTCCCTGTCCCTGCTTCCGATGTTAGGATAAGCCTATGATGTAGGTCAAGACGAAAACTTTCATTCCCTAATGTTGACCGAATCATTGTAATACTAATGCATCATGTCTGGTATGTCTTTCCCATTGTATTTGTGTGTATGCTGGTGTGTATGTTTGTGTACGTGTACATGCACACATGCACGTGTGTGTGTATGTGTGTGCACATGTGCATGTGTTATTTACTAGTTTTGGTTGAACTCCTGTAATGTTAAATTTTATGTTTTTACTTTCATTAACTGTATTTTTAGACGGAATTTTTATGGTGGCCTTCTTGGCCAGGGCACCTTTGCAAAAGAGACTTGTTCTCAAAGGACTTCCCTGGTCAAATAAGGGTTAAATAAATAATAAAATAAAATAAAATAAAATAAATCGCTGAACACAAGCAGGGTGTGTACTCAAGGTAAAACCACTCAGACAAGAAGTAGAGAGCCAG